AGGAGGCAGCGGAGATCAAGGAGCGCCGGGAGGAGGAGTTGCGTGTGGCCTAGGTCGAGGTAGAGAAGAGTCTGTCCGTCGAGGAATCGGCGATGGAGTACCAACGCGAGCTCTGGCGCAACCACTACTACGAGTACTACAACCTTGAGGGCGGCGCCGAGGATGAGGATGCGGCCGACTTCAGCAGGGGGGGCGCGGAGTCCACCAGCGGCGGCATGTCGCGAGGACAAGTCATCGACATCTCATCTCACACCGATGATGCATAGGCCGGCGCGGTGGCGGATTTGTTAAAATTATTCATACTTAGGCTTTGGTTTTAATGCTGGTCTTTTGTTAGAGCAATGTTTAGGTGAACTGTCTATGTTTAATTACTAAAATTGCTCGATTCAGTAAGTCTGATCTATGTGTTCTACGCTCTTTTGTGTGCCCAAATTAGCAAGCGATGTTAAATTATGCAATGACGTACGCGGGGAAATTTCCACCAAAATTTCAATTGTCAAACTCATCCCATGAGCGTTAAGCAGAATAGTTGTTTGCGATGCACACTATCGTTTAAAGTGAATGGTGTCCGGCGGCACCGCACGCAAAGTTTCCCTCCACATTTTGAAATTTTTTGGCCTACCGCCGAAATACCTACCCTCCCCATCCCCATCCCCTTTTCTCCCCGACCACAAGTCACATTTCCCCTGTTTCCCCCTTCCTTCCTTCCTAAGCTATAGCCGCTTCCTCGCTTCCTTCCTCACTCTCGCCGTCTCGCATCCTACCGTCGGGGTCGCCATGGTCATCTTCAAAGACCTCTCCAGCGGTTCCCCCTCCAATGACGACTCCACCACCCGGGTATGCCTCTCTTCTCTCTCTCGGGCTATGACTTTGAATGAAGGATTTTTACCCGGCGGTTGATTTGTGTCATTTCTTCCTCTTGTAGTTCCCTAGGACCTTCAGTTGCAATGAATGGAGTGACGTGGCTGAAGATCTGTCTGCTTGTTGTCACCATCAATCTCCATGCGTGAAGCTAGTTGCGTTTGAATCTGTGGACAGTGGGAGGAAGTTTCTGGCATGTGCAGAGAAGGTTAGATCCTCTTTATTGTTACAAATCATTTGTTAGATGTGATTCAGACACTGTCATGGTCCCAACCCATTCATACCACACCTTCAACCAAACGCATCCTAAGACAGTGTCATAGTTTGTACCTAGTATCTAAAAATGTTGCCACCTCATCAGCGGTGCCATTAGAAAATTATTTGGCCCCGCTTCAGCAGTTTGTGGAGCCAACTTGTCCACACATCCGAGCAGCCAAGCAGTAAAATACTAAATCTTTATGCCACGAAGGAACTGGGCCTCGGAGCAACTAGGTGCTCCGGAGTTCGGGTCCCTGATTTTTTTCCGCTGCATCGGCTCGCCAGTGCAGGGCATCGGTGCGAGATGTAGCAAAAGTTGTCTTTACACCGGTTTTGGCATACATAGTGGACGCCTTAGTGCTATTAGTTATATGTTACTAAATTTGTGCATGTACACACCTGTTAGTATCAATTTGCTATCATCCAAACACTATCGCTATGCGGTTGCAGTTATATTTACCGTCCTCTTAAAATGTTCAAGCATTGTTGAAGTTAATTATAGCTTTTTATGTTTCAGAATTTGGTTGTTGTATCAGTAGCAATTAATTCATTTGCACATTGATCTTTTTGAGAAGATATATCATAATTAACCTGTTTCTTCGGTTTTTCAAAATGAGTATTGGTGATTTTCTATGTTGCTATAAACCCATTTTCCCTACAATTGTTACTGATCTAGTTTTAAATATTATATGATGATCGGAAGTGTTCTTACTTGGAGTGGGTTGATCAAGAGTGGCCACATTCTTTGGAGATGTGCCTAGCAAAGCTCTGGAGCATGTATCAGGAAGAGAACAGAGGTAGGCTTAGAGATAGTGTTGTCAACGCTGAAGAATATTTAAAGATGCGGGATAAAAAGAGGAAGGTGGAGAAGGAGCTCAGATTTTTTAAGTCAGACTTTGCTAAGATGGTGTTGGCGAAGGAGGAGGCACTTTCCCAGTTGGCCAGTGCAAAACAGGTTCTTATTGAACTGAAAGCAGAGGTGGATAAGGCGAGCCTGGATGATCTCGATTAGGGAAATGAATATATTGTTCTAATATTGTTCTTATAAAGTTGAACTATCCATATGCTGTACTTTGCCGTTTTCCGGTAGTTATTGTATTGTGATGTTAAAATATATCTATGTGTCTGATATGAAATTGGCAAACAGTTGTTCGATATGAAATGTGAATTTGCGTAATGCTGGAATTATTAATTGTAAACTAATAAACTTGCTAAATGGGTCATGAAACTTTGCAAACGGTTCTAACAGTAAAAACGCTTGTGATGAATAGCCCAATGCCACACAGTTTTCTTCATCAAATCGTGTGTGATGTAGTTGATAAAAGCAAACGGTTAACCAAGAGCGTGTGTGTGATGGTTAGAGCCTATATATAAACCTATGTGGGATGTACATACGAACGAAAACGTTTTCCTTGAATTGACTGTGTGGGATGTACATAAGAACGGAAACGTATTCCTTGGATTGACTGTGTGTGATATACATACCTACGGAAATGTTTTTCCGAGATTCACCGTGTGGGATGTACATACCTACGGAAATGTTTTATGGGATTCACTGTGTGGGATGTACATACCTACGGAAATGATTGAGTTTCCGTGGGTCACCCGATCGCACACGAACTCATTTGGTGTCGCAGGAGGGCCTATCCCTGACGGTTTCTGGGTCGCGTGGGAAGGACCCCCTAATCGCCCACACTCACTAGGTGACGGTTCCAAATGCCGTCGTGGAAAGGGATTTAAAACCGTTTGTATAGTACCGACGCGTACCAGTGCATGCACTTGCTTTTCAAGATATCGTTTCCAATGTCAATGTTTACAAAATTGTTAATCTTTTTTTATTGGAGTTCAGCCATGTTATCCACTAAGGATTCAACTTGCAAGCATCTGAATCTTATGTTGTTTGATTCACTCTACATGTTAATTCACAGCTTGCAAGGTAATTTATATATTAAATTAATCATTTTTTTATAATGACAATGAATATGTCATTTCTAAGCACTGCCATGCACTTTTTATTTCATGTCGATAACATGACTGATGCTTTGTGGAATGTCCGAATGAGATAAATAGATAGATAGGCAGAGATAAAGAGTATACGAGTGATGGAGCATGGCGTGGTCTTGAGCCATTGGACTAGGGGGAGCTATTTTTTCTCCCATTGCAACTCACGCACATTTTTTGCTAGTCTATACCTAATAATAAAGCGGTCATTGCTTCTTGCGATACGTCATGGAAATTGCCCCCAAAATTATAAAAGATTACCCATTGATGCCATCTATAAGTGATCAAAAAACGTTTCACACAAGGGACTTCCCTGCCTAGACCGACCTATGCAGCAGACACCTTCTATACTTCACTCTGCGCGCTGCGAAAAGACGCAGCACGCCCGTTGGGCCGGCCCATGTCTAGGCAGCCTGTTTTTTAAATTTCCTTTTTTACTTTTCCATTTTCGTTTTCTCTCCTTTAAATAATTTAGGACTTCAAAAAGTTCCATGAATTATTAAAAATGGAATTGTAAAGTAAATTTTTTTAACAAAACATAAAACATTTGTGAATTCAAAAAATGTTTGTGATTTCGTAAAAGATGTCCGCTTATTCAAGAAATGTACGATAATTTGAAAATAAATATTTGGAAAACCAAAAAATGTTCATGATTTACAAAAAAGTTTGTGTATTAAAAATGTTAATGTAACTGAACAAAATTTGTCCAATTCAAAAATATTCATGAATGATAAAATATCATAAAAATTCAAAAACTGTTCGTGACTTGCAAAATAGTTTATTCATTATGATCACGCATTTAAAAAAATGCTCCTTAAATCAAAAAAAATGTTTGTTAAATCAAAACAATGTTTTTAAATTTCAAAAATTATTCCAGCAATTTCCAAGAAAAGTTCCTCGATTCTAGAAATGTTCGCCGATTCAAGAACATTGTTTCAAAAATTATTCACAATTTTTAAAAAATGTTTGCAAATTGTATAAAATGTTAATTAGTTTAGAAAATGTTCTTGATTTTAGAAAGTGTTCGAAAATTTATAAAAGTGTTCAAGAACTTGAAAAATGTTCATGATTTCAAATATGTGCATGAGTTAAAAAATGTTCATGATTTCAAAAATTGTGCATGATTTCACAAAATTGAGTGTGATAGTGTATCTCGGTGATGCAGCAAAATGTGCTCATGGCCATTGGAGAGTATGAGTTTTTTTCTACCGTTGCAATGCATAGACCCTTTTGCTAGTAAGACAAAATGTTCCATTCTTTTTAGGTAAGTAGATATTTTTTTAAAGAAATAATTTTGTTTATTTTTAGACTGCAACCGCCATAAGGGAAAGGCAACACGGTTCGGTTCGCAAAAGTGCCGTGCCGGGCCAGCCTTTATAGCAGACGTGCTGGGTCGATCCTCATGGCCGAGCTTTCGGGCCAGCACGGCATCGCGCTTTTTTATAAGAGAGCCGACACGAGTCGTGTTGTACCGGCCCGGCCCATATATGGCCACAGGCTACTCACCGGCTAGGGTTTCCTCCTTTATAACCAATGGCTTCGTCACTCAGGCTCTACCGCCGCCGCCGCAGGCTCCCAGCACAAACAACTGCTAAGCCCACTTTGATGGTGAATCGAGCCGTTTTGCCGCAGCACCATCGTCGACTTGTAGGTACGTACCTTCGGTCTCCTTTCTTCATGCTGCCTTTTGTCGTCCTCGATTCAGATATGAGGATTGGGCCTGATTGATTTCCACTTGACAATGTATTCGGGTTCGAATTCGAGTGACAGGGATCAAGGGCCAGCGTCAACGCCTTTGAAAGAAATCGAAGGAATTAGGGCTACTAATAATTCAGGTGGTGCGTAGATCACAAGAAGGCGACGGTTAAGGAAGATCGAGGATGCCAAAGCAGCGGCACGGGAAACGCCTAGGCGCTCTTGAGCTAGAGCCTCGGCCTCGGCAGGATCACCTGTACCTTGTCTTTGATGACTGGTCGTTCGGATATACCATCCGCAAGGTAAATACGTCGAATCGCTTCAATCCCCCCGTGCAGCGCTTGCCTCGGCCTTTCTTCAAATTGGAGGCGCCGCACGAGTCTCCGGAGTACTTCGCGTCAGCCTTTGGCACTAGGATTTTGCTGATGCATCCCAGGGATCCTGCGGGTCATAACTTGTCCGGCAGCTTCTTCCCCATGTTGGACGTCCGCTCGCGGAGTCTCACCTTTGGCCCTGGGCTCGAGTTTCCGATTCATCCCGTCTATCTCGCCGTCGGCAATAAGCTATTCATTATTGCCGAAGCCTCTTTTGAGATGCTCTACTTGGATCCACAATCTGGCTCCGAGTGGTCGTGGGAACTGCTCCCACATCCGCCATTCCAGATTTACGACGTCTGCTCGTACGCTTTGTACGGACATTCTCTCCTTGTGAGCACCGAGAACGAAGCCTTTGCTGCCACCTTCACCTTTGACACGGTAAAAAGTTCATGGAAACAACTTGGCAAGTGGGTGCTGCCTTTCGAGGGTCGTGGTCACTTCGACCCTCACCTGGGCGCATTTGTTGGGCTCTCGAAAGACCCAGACACCCTCGGCCAACTCATTTGCTGCTACATGCACACCTCCGACACTGGCCACACCCTTGAGTTGAAGCTCAGCAAGGAGAAGCTGTTCAGCGAGGACCCAGCCTTGAGGCACATAGGCGCCACCCTTGTGTACATGGAAAGCCAGAGCAAATTCTGCCTCGTAGAATGTGTCTCCATTGTTGACGACAGTGCTGATCAGGAGCTCAAGGAAGAGGAAGACCTGCCCCAATCTGGCTGCTGTCTTTGTTGTTTGACTACATTCTATCTCTGTCATGACATGAATGGAGACCCGACGACCGGCAGGAGCTGTATGGTGCAGTACTACGAAGTGCCTAGAGCAACCTCTATGTTGTTCCTCCAAGATCCTGTTGCATTTTGGATGTAAAATGCTAAAATCATGTTATGATGACCGAGTTCCTATGTTTATTTTTCACTCAGTTGTGACTGCTGCATTTCTATGTTTTAATAATGTGTTTACTCGTCTGTGATTCAGCTAATGTATCACCACCTCTGTAACTTCATTTGTTTTATGTCTATGAGTAAGCAACAAGAAAGTATTCTATGCATGCATTTATTTTGGTAATAATAACTCAATACAGCAAGCCTAATACTGGAAGTTGCAAATACTCCCATGCTGCTTCAATCTGCCATGGGCAAATTCTTTTGTTAAGAAAATTCATGTAGTAGCATCTGGAAAATGTACAACATAATAAAATGCTATTTAGCCATTATATTAACTGATCTGCGTACTTCACATAACGATAAGAACGACTGGTTAGTAGATTGACGTGAATCCTAGACCTCCTCCAAGGTTTCTATCAGAACAACGGTCATACTCATGCAAACTTATGTCAATCTGCCGGACCCCGTGCACTCATCAGTATTATTTGTTTTCGCTTCACACATTGTTTTTACACCCAGCTTTTTTTCCCCGCAGAAAAGCGGGTGTATTACTTAAGGGGTGTAGGTACGTTACAATCAGAAGCACCCAACGGCATAATTTTGCCTGGACCATGCCAGATCTAGACTGCTGTGCAAGGAGAGGATCGCCCTAGTTTGGCAACAGTATGGCTAATAACATTGAGCTCTCTCTCCTAATGACGTTGATGCTGAACTCTGTTCCCCCTCATATTCTCTTGGCTTCCATTACAAGTGAAGGCACCGGTGATTTATCTATGTCTGATGCTCCCAGTATCGCTGCAACTTGGTGCTATCCGCATCAATGATGAACGGCCTGTCGCTCCATTCGCTCTATCTATGTGATGAACGGCCTGTCGCTCCATTCGCTCTATCTATGTGAGGGCTATCCCTTGTGGGCACGCAGTACGTTCTGCTTCCAGCGCACTCGTACATGTACGGAGGAATCTGCATGGAACTCGTGCAGAGGTTGTATTTGCCTTCTAAGCCAGGAAGGCAGGAAACCACTTTGGATTTAAGTTCGTTGAATCAAGGAATTTTAATACGATACAAGCACATTTTATCAACGGATTTGCGATTCAGCGTAATACTCCAGTTTCCAAGGTTATATAATGTAGTGAGTTGTACAGGTTGCCCTTTGCAAATCATGAAGCTAATAAAGAAAGTAGAAACTACCTTACACGGAATGATATCTTTTTAATACATAACCATGGCTTATAAATTGTCTGTTCAATGGAAATGTGCAAATATTTGTTTAGCTTCATAAAGAACTAAAATTACTCCATAATTTATTTGCGTGCAGGTTCCTAGGAACATCCACCTCACTCAACCTGTGTAGTACAAACAGAAAACACAAAATCACACTAAGATCTGCCTGGAATCCTGGAATGATATAGATCTCTTGTTTACCGTAGGCCAACCAAACATCCCATGTAAGGCCAAACTTTAACCCATCCCCTATCCGCCCATGTCCGGCTATAAGGAACGATAAATGTAATTTTACTCCTCTATCGCATTTAGCCGATCCTCTAAACCAAATAGAGGAGGATAATTTATCCTCCGTTGCCTATCCAATCCCTATATACTCTTATGGAGGCGGCCAAGGATAAATTTTCTTCACGCAAAGGCCTCCTTTTGGCCGGCCGGCGACTCATGTGAACCTCCTTTGTCGACGGCGGTGACCTCGCCGTGAATGCGCGCCTCCTCTCGCAGTGTTTCATGTTGCTGTTGCTGGTGTGTTCCTGTCACCGTCCACTTCCATGTCCGGCACCTTTGTCGTGCCCACCATTCTCACCATCCCCGCCCTCTTCGACAAGTGTGCATCTCTGACTCCTTGTCGTCTTGAACGAGGAGGATGCAACCAGAGGTACGATCTGGATGACCTCACCTTTGCCGGCTGGCGGACGGTGAGGGTCTTCCTCCTCGACCCACGCAGTGGCGGCAAGGTTGGTGAGCTGCCCCCTCCGCCGACCAGCAGGGACGTCTACTAGTGCGTGCTCACACTGGTG